CTTACCACTTGCTTTACAGTTATGTTTATGTGGCCATCTTGTTTACGAATCTGCAGGGCTGGGTCTCATTCATCTGGTAGCCCCGTGGGCTAGCCTGGCATCTGCTAACGCTTAGTGTGAAGGAATAACTCACTGTCCATTGTGACATACGGACGTCCTCAAGGTCACATAAACAGCTGCATGACACCCAAGGCCAGGGGGTTATTTTCCTTCATGAGGGTGATAGGTGGAAGGTGGAGGATGGAAAGACATTTTAAAAAGTGAACATGTGCCATGAAACGCTAAAAAATGAACGAGCTGAATTGTGATTTTCTAATCAGTCAAGTTTTTCCTTCTATAGATACGGACAAGATGCAAAGGAGAAATCGAGGCAGTTAATAGGACACAGCGTCCTACGTCCGCCTACACAGTCTGGCCGCAAGTGGATTGGGGCTGCATTAGAAAGAAAGGAAGGAGTAGGAGATCTGTTGCAGCACCAAATGGTTTCGCCGGACTTCGTCCTGACAAGAGCTACATATTTCAAGTCCTATCTATTGAACTTCCTTTGTAATACCTGATGTTTCTGCCCAGACTCCTCATGATGAATTTCGTCTGGGTCAGCCTAGTGCACAATCTTTTGATGCTTTTCTTAAACTGCCCTCAATTGTCCATAAATAACCATCAGCAGACACATCATCAAAGGAGTTTCACAGCGGACAAACTAAAGACTCCACCCGCGGTGGGTTAAAGAGCAACCGTGAGAACTGTTGGGGCCACGTCTCCTTGCTAGTGAAGATCAAAACTGTTACCTCCGGACCAGACACAAAAGGACAAATACTGCAGGATCCCACTGCTCTGAGGCACCTAGACAAATCAGAGACGGGAAGTAGAATGCTGGTTACTAGGGACGGGAGGTGGCGAGGAACGAACAGTTAGTGTTTAATGGGGGCAGAGTTTCAGTTGGGAAGATGAGAAGGTTCTAGAGATGGATGGTGGTGATGGCTGTGCGGCACTATGAAGGTTCTTATGGCCGTTGAAACGCACACTTAAAAGTAGTGTTAAGGGGCGCCTGGGTGGCGCAGTCGGTTAAGCGTCCGACTTCAGCCAGGTCACGATCTTGCCGTCCGCGAGTTCGAGCCCCGCGTCAGGCTCTGGGCTGATGGCTCAGAGCCTGGAGCCTGTTTCCGATTCTGTGTCTCCCTCTCTCTCTGCCCCTCCCCCGTTCATGCTCTGTCTCTCTCTGTCGCAAAAATAAATAAACGTTGAAAAAAAAAATTAAAAAAAAAAAAAAAAAAGTAGTGTTAAGTGGTAAATTTTGTCCTGTGCACACTTCCCACAAGACACATTTCCTGAGAAAGGCAATGCCCTGTGCCACCTTTTGTGGTCGTTCAGAGAAAAGAAGGGCCATGCAAGGTGTCCCCTTCCTTGTAGGTCTCCCCGAGATGTCAAACCCAGCCTATTTGAGGACTCTGGTTCCAGAACATTAGGATCAAAACGATTCATGGACCACCCAGGTCGCCTGGTTGTGCCAGCGCAGTGGGGACTGAGCGGGGACCTAGCTACTGAATGGAAACGGGGCTGGACATCCTCGAGACTGTTTTAGGATTTCACTGAAAGGAACCAGACAGGTCTTATAAAAACTGGTGGGTAAGCTGTTCTGTCATCTCAGGCTGGCCACGGGGCTCTCTCATGCTGATCAGAGACCCTGAACACCACGGTGGGCGGTAAAAACTACAGGTACAAATGACCACTTAATACAACCAAGTACCCCTGGAGACATTTTAAAACCTTGCTACTCAAAGGTGGTCTGCAGAGCAACAGCATGGGCTTTACCTGACCCTTGGCTCAACGTGCAGAAGCCCAGTCCCCTAGACCTTGGGGATCGACAAGATACCCATTTATTTACACTTTGAAGCTTGAGAAGGACTGCTTGAAGACCTGACTCCACAGAGAATAACCATGTACTTTAAAGTTTATTTTTCTTAATAATCTCTACACCCAACCCGGGGAGGGAGGGGGCTTGAACTCACGACCCTGAGATCAAGAGTTGCATGCTCTTCCGACTGAGCCAGCCAGGTGCCTCTAACGTGTACTTTATAGTGAATAGCTGGGAACTATGTACTTATGGAAGTAAATCTGTGATGCAGTCCACTAGGGCTATCAAAGAAACAGGGTTTTGTGCTAGGGGGCCATCGCTGGTGCAGAGTCCTTGCCCTGGGGAAGGTTGCATTTTTGTGCCACTGAGAACCCCAGCCTTTACTGAGGATTTTGGGGGATAGCAAGGGAGGCAGATTTCACACATCCCACCAGGACTCACCCCTGGCAAGGGCTCCATATTGCAAAGGAGGGAGAGGGTAGGTACGCCGCCAGCCTGGCTTTCCCGTTGACCTGACCCTCCACCCTCTAAGCCCGTGGGGGTTCAGCTCGTCAGTCAAGAAACCTCTCTCTACACGGGAATTCTCTTCATAGCTAATCAGCTACAAAGAGAATATAATTTCTGTTATTATATCTGTAGTTCTTTTCAATCAAGCTGTTGTGGTCATGTAAAGAGATACAGTAAATCGCCCCCAGATTTTAATGTGGGGCAGTAACTCCCTAATTATATGAAAACTCTTTCCCCGCACTCTTGCCTTGACTGATAACCATGGGTAAAAGGGACCAGAACCACTAAGTACTGAGTGTCATCTCTAATCTGGGTCCTGTTTATGTGCAGTTAGCTCATCCAACTTCCCCCAATTCTGAGACTGTTCTACAGATAGGGCAACAGGCTCAAGAGAAATCACCTAAACTGTGCCGGGTCAACAGGTCACAAAGTGAGAGCCCACGATTTAAACCCAGATGTATCTGACCCCCAGAGCTCTAGCTCTGACATCCCACGAACTTGCGGACTGAGCCCCAGCCATCAGGCTGGCTGCATTTATATTTACTCGAGTTGATGCAGTCTCATGGGCCAGGTCACGTCTGCTCTGAGGCCCAAACTGGACACTTATAAAAAGCTTTGTAGGCCACAAGGGTCTTACAGCTCTTCGATGGCATGGTAATGACCAGGCAGCTTAACATCACAGGCTTTTGCACTTCCTGATTTCTCAGGCATCAAAACGAGACAAGAAAGGCTCTTTTTAAAAGGGATTTCCTGATGAATGAAACCTGGGAAGTCCTGCAAATCTTAGGGACTTCTGATCTTGTAGGGATTTTTCCAACCCCTCCCCACTTTCCTCTTTGTCAACAAGAAAATCATTCTTGTGGGTCGGAGACAGGGCAGGGACAGGGACACTCTGCAGAACACCGCTGCAGCAGAACACCGCTGCAGCCCCCGTCTCCTGAAATTCTTCTGGGGCACGTCCACCACTGGAGTGGGCTCCTAAGCGTGCTCTTCTGATTAAGAAACCATCCCGCATGAAGCTCCTGCCGCGGCAGCTGACGTCCTCCGTGTCACACAGGCACTACCAGGTGACCTCTCACCGGACGCCAGGGTTTGGCGACGCTTGGATGAAGCGAGAAAGAACATGACGCAGCTGTAGGCGAGCCATTTTGCCAAAGAGGATTATGACGTGCCTGTCGCGAAGTGAACACCAAAGAAATGACAAAGCTCCTACTTTTCAAGAAAACATTTCAGTACTGTGCAAGAGACCAAAACCAAAACACCTGGTAAAGCGTTGCCAGTGTGATCGGCCACGGGCCACAGCGCCACGGCCCTGTTGAGGTTGGTCTGTTCGACGGGAGTCCTGCTGACGGCAGCTCCGAAGGCTCACCCCAGTGAGCCTCAGGTTTGGGGGTTCAGCGGCACTTCCCCGTCTTCCTCCCCCCCAGCCCCCGACTTCTAAACGCAGAGGTTTTGACAGCTCCCAGCACCTACAGCAGCTAGAGAAAGCCGCAACATGCTGTCCCATCTACTGTCCCTTCTGTCCCTCACAGCCTCCTGAGTGCCTAGCTTCCTGCAGGTTTTCAGTTCTCTTTAGTTTTGTCCATGTCTTCCCTTTTCCCCAAATCTCTCAGGGGTTTTAAAAGCTCGAGGTGTCACAGCTTTTAAGTTAGCCTCTTAGAAGTGAACCATCTTGGGGGCGCCTGGGTGGCTCAGTTGGTTAAGCATCCGACTTCAGCTCAGGTCACGATCTCACGGTCCGTGAGTTCGAGCCCCGCGTCAGGCTCTGGGCTGATGGCTCAGACCCTGGAGCCTGTTTCCGATTCTGTGTCTCCCTCTCTCTCTGCCCCTCCCCCGTTCATGCTCTGTCTCTGTCTCAAAAATAAATAAACATTAAAAAAAAAAAAAAAAGTGAACCATCTCGGTTCTCACTACACGTGGCACAGCCCAACTGCTAGCAGCACGGGCGGGTCACTGTGACACGGCCACTTCCTGTGGGACTCAGGTCAACTATTTTATTCATCCTGAGCTCTTAATTTCTCATCTAGGAGATGACAACAGTCAACCTACTTCACTAGCTTGTTGTGAAGATGATACTGGAACAGCTCCTGGCACGGAACAAGTCTGTGTCACATTTTACCTATCACGACACTTACCCTACTCTCTTCATTGGTGTCTCATTTGTCCATTCTAAGATGGCTGAGGTCAGGGACTGTCTCCGGTCATCTGTGAAACCTCAGGGCTTGGACAGCAGGTGCTTCCAAAGATGCCTGAGGTGAATGGCTGAGAACCTTTCTGGAGGTGAACATAAAGCCTGGATGACGGATGTGGGAAAAGCATCGCAGGCAGGGACAAGGACACAGGGGGCTGTACGAAGGAGTCCGTGTGGGAGGGAGGAAGGGAAGTGGCGAGGAGACAAGGCTGAAGAAAGGCGATGCTCAGGTCTCTGGGGCCAAGAGCGATCCCAAAGGCTCTGTCTGTCAGAGGGCCAAATGGAGAACGACGCCAGAAGACTGGACACAAATGCATCGGGTGGGGAGAATTCCCGTTAGCGACGAGACTGGTTAGAAAAACGCAGCCATTACAGCTACAGCAACAGCTACAGCTATTATTCCCAAACCCTTCTTCCTTACAAAGAAAAGGCAATCTTACGATCACACAGAGACCACGTTCTTTTTTATTGACAATTCATTCTCTACACACGTACAGTATTGCACAAATGACAGGTGGACCGACAAGTGTATTAACAATATGAACTCGCAAGCACCTACAGAGCCACCGCGCTAGGTTTTGGTGCATTCCGTGCCGGGTACTTCAGTAAACAGGACGGACAGAAGTGTGACAGCTACCTCATGAGAACCGGCTTTCAAAAAAAGCATATGTGTTGTAGAACAGTATGTCAAACCCAGGAAAATCACTAAATGACAAAAGGAACACTGTCAAAGAAAAGGTGGTAGTGACAATGTTAGGTTAAGAATTTCACTGAACTTGAGATTCAGAAAACGTACACATACTGGGAATTTGAAGAAAAGACCCTCATGTTCAGCCCTCATGAAGACCCTCAACATTCGAGAAGGGTATTTCTGGGGTGCTACAGTGTCCTCTCTACTGTAGAAAACATGTCTCATAGTTCTAAAGAAACAAGACGGTAATTCACATGAGTGGGTTTTAAAATAAGATTCTTCTCACTCAAAATAAAATAAACTAAATAACGATCTTTGTCAGATTACAAGAAAATCTTATCAGAATGCCAACCAGATAGAGAAGCCAGTCCATACCCCGACCGTTGCTGCCTGCCTCAGACTGTGGAGCCGGCGTGTCCCCTACACAGAAGGGGACACGAGAGTGGTCCCAGCTCCGCTGCTACAGAGCCTACGGTGTGAGGGTGGACAGAAGTCCTTCAGCTTCCCTGGGGGTTGCACCCCAGGTACAGAATTGAGGAGTGGACTGGATGGCTTTTTAGACACCTTTCAACCAAAAGGATCTAAGCCAGCTTGAGACTCCACCGTGGAGGGGACACCGAGGGTGGCAAAAGAAATGGATTAAAAATGGTGGGTTAAGTAATTCTTACCTTTAGATGACATTGCTCGGAACCTCTCTGCACTGCAGTGCAAGGAAACCTTTGCTCGATACTTTCGTCTGCCAGCTGCTGCTAAGGGGTAAAGCAAATGAGGCATCTGACAATGAAATTTGGGACAAAAATGTAGAAACGCTGTACCAAGTTTGGGTAGAAAAAACAGTGCACTCCCGCGTCCCGCCAGCAGTCAGGATCTTCCGCCTCTGAACTTTAAGAGCCATCAATCTGGTTGGTAAATGCACATTCGCACCACTCAGTGGAGATCTATGCAGTGCACGTGTATCAAGTACGTTTCCTGAAATCCTCCCAGGAAGGCGGCTTTCATGAAACTGGTTCTAATAAAAACGATGAAGACAAGGAGGTGCAGGATAGGATTTTTTTTCTTTACAGATCAGGAAAATGACTCAAAGAGAGTAATGGCTTCTCATTTTCTGCCCTTTAAAAATAATACAAATATCACTTCTTTAGGAATCTAATACACTGGCTTCACTTTCAAAATGCATCATTTTATTTTCCTCATAAGGCAGTCATACATTATAACCTTTCAGCACGCGACAGTCACATCATTTCTTCAGTAAGCCCTAGGACTTCCATGAGTGTTCCCAGAGCTCACAGCCAGAGCAGTCAAATATTAAAGCTTTCTCCACAGCCACACGTTCCTTTGATGTTTGGGTTATTGAAAACAAACTCACTGGATAACTTATCTTCAACATAGTCCATTTCTGTTCCTAAAAGTGTCAGTTGTGCTTTCTTCTCGATGAACACTCTGACTCCTGGCAGGAGAAGAAAACAAGTGTCACATAAATAAAACCTGCAGAGTAACCACTCACAAAAGTCAAACAGGAAGCTTCTGGATCAGTCCCACTATTTCCTTTAAGGGATTTAGTGCTCAGTTTCCTGTCTGTCCCTTCTTTTCCACCCAATAACCTAAGTCAAACACAATGACACTGGCTAGACTGTTGTATATCAGCAAATCCCATGACAATTCTATGCAAAACTAGAATTTGCTTTGCACTTCACTCCTTTTTCCAATATGCAATATGAAGGAAATGAGTATATTCTCGGTGAGACTTCTGTAAAGACAAAGTCTGGAAAATGTGCGAGAACTCTGCAACGACGTCTGTACACATGACACAATGGCAAGCCTAGAGGCACACAAGGACTGTGATACACTGGGCTGGTTTCATAAAACCAGCCAGTGCACCGCAGCCGTTTTGTGCTGCTTAGGGGCCGGAAAACTGGTAACAACCTAACTCCCTAGTAATTACGCAGGTAGAAGTTGGTATCTTCGTAAATATAATCAGCTTAAGAAAGCTTTGCAGGGTGCCTGGGTGGCTCAGTGGTTAAGCATCCGACTTTAGTTCAGGTCATGATCTCGCAGTTCCTGAAAACAAGACCGCATCAGGCTCTGTGCTGACAGCTCAGAGCCTGGGACCTGCTTTGGATTCTGTGTCTCCCTCTCTCTCTGCCCCTCCCCTGCTTGCATGCTCTAAGATAAATAAACATTCAAAAAAAATTTTTTAAAAAACCCCAAACTTAAAAAAATTATAAATTAAAAAAGAGAAAGCTTTCCTCCTTATAAGAAACTTAGTAATTACTCATATATAAACTACACATAATTATTAGAACTCCTCTTCTTAAAAATGAAAACATTTAAGATATTTAATGTATTGATCTAAAAAACAACACACTGGGGCACCTGGGTGGCTCAGTCGGTTACGTTCGACTCTTGATTTTGACTCAGGTCATGATCCCAGGGTGGTGGGATCGAGCCCTGTGTTGGGCATGAAGCCTGCTTAAGATTCTGTCTCTCCCCCTCTCCCCCACTCGCTCTTTTTCTAAAATAAAAGAAAAAATAAAAACTACCTATTAACAAAAATAGGTAGTTTTTTGTTTTCAATAGGTTTTATCAGATTCTTGGGTTGGGGCAGGAGGCAGGACATAATTAAAGCACTGACATTTTAAATAAAAATGAAAAATACAGATTCCTCAAAAGCATGAGATGACATTATTTGGTACAGACGTCAAACTGCTGCTTCACACACGATGCGTGGTTCAGTATGAAGTTTAATCATTTTAAAACCTTTCTGCACACAGTGATTATTTTTTGTAACTGAAATAAACACACAAATGATAATCCGTCAGTTACTAAGAGCACAGCCTCTGGAGTGAATCTGATTAGGTTCAACTTTTCACTAGGCCACTTAATTAGCGGAGAGACCTGAAGCCAGCTATGTAACCTCTCCATGCCTCAGTTTCTTCATCTGTAAAATGGGGCACAACATGGTACCATTCTCTCAGCTGCTGTATATGAATCACTTAATACATGAAAGGCCATCAAACCAGATACACTGAGCACCACATACGCCATTCCTACTATCATCTTTACTCTTCTTGCTGTTCAAGGTTAAAGATTTGACGCCAAGTTTGCTTAAAACTCACCGTCTTGAACAACTTCTTCATCAGAATCTCCTTTTGTCTTTGTATATTCTAGAGTATAAGAAAGGCCATTACAACCCCTGGTTCGGACACCAACTTTCAGACCTACCTGAAAAAGCATTGTAAATAAAACTTAAGTTTTAAAGTAGTACATATTAAACAATTACATTCATAAAAACCCTGGCTGGTTGACCCTGTATGTTTCTTTGTAAGCTCAAAGATAAATATTAGATTTCTCGCTATAAAATGTCCCTTTAGGAAGCGGAAGGGGGAACATGCACTTAAAAAATTTAACTATTTAACAAACATCACTGCAACACTAGTGGGGATCCTAAAATAAAAAAACAATTATGTGCAAAGAAAACAGTACAGAGGGGTCAAAACTCCAAAAAGCCAGTCACTATCACTCTACAAAAGATATCTCCTACGGTTTTCCCATTTTTCTTCCAGTCCTCGTCATATATACATACACTCGAAACACAGGTTTTATTACAGCAGGAATAAAAGTCTTATTGTCTGCTTTGTTTCTGCCACGTAAGACGTCATCTTTCCGTGTCATCAGCCTTCACAACTATCATTTGCATGTAATGCCTCAGTAATCCACTGTACCACAGTAAGCTGTGCCCCACCCGGGGCGTGCACTCACCACCCCTCGATCAAGAGTCACATGCTCTACTGACCGAGCCAGCCAGGTGCCTCTTAAAGAAGAGTTTTAATTCTAAACATGAAGAATTTTTTTTTTTTTAAAGGAAAAAGAAAAGTATCTGATGGCAGAGACGGCTACCTACAAATTCTCGATGGTTTGTGCTCCACCTCACTGCAGGAGATGCTCTCAGGAAGTTTCTGTGTGGCTAGGTTCACCGAGGCTCACAGGCTGTCACCTGGCAATCACCCTGCCTCTACACGGGGCCTTAACTCTAAGGCAGACCTATGTACACATTCTCGAGTACCAGAAATCAGAAGATTGCAGCCAACACAGACGTAAGAAGTTTAAAAGGTGACCAGGGGCGCTGGGGTGGCGCAGTCGGTTAAGCGTCCGACTTCAGCCAGGTCACGATCTCGCGGTCCGTGAGTTCGAGCCCCGCGTCGGGCTCTGGGCTGATGGCTCAGAGCCTGGAGCCTGTTTCCGATTCTGTGTCTCCCTCTCTCTCTGCCCCTCCCCCGTTCATGCTCTGTCTCTCTGTCCCAAAAATAAATAAACGTTGAAAAAAAAAAATTAAAAAAAAATAAATAAATACAAGGTGACCAAACCGTACTTTTAAAATACCAATGTCTATCTTAATGTGACTGCCTAACAACACCTACCAAATGCCTACTCTTGGATCCTATCTGCTTTTTCATTGAAGTGTATGGTAAAACTATCACCATACAAAGGAAGATTTCAGCCAGTAGACCCTGATTCTCTCAAAAGCAGCGATGTGCACTTGCTTCAGGAAAACAGGAGTAGGAAAGACGTGTGGCAAAGAGGGGGGGCTTACAATGTTGGGGTGCCTGGGAGTCTGGACAGCTGAAGCATTCAGACAGCAGAGTGTGTCCTTATACCCCTACACAACACGGAGACAGAACTGTGCTCTTATTCACTTTCAGAGTGAGAGCTGACAGAACACGGGAGGGAGTGTCCCGTACTGGGCACCATCAATAAACCGTCTAGCTCAAATTCAGAGGCACATGTCCTAAGTATGGGTTTAAGCTAGCTTTAACCTTTGTCAATAAGAGGCCTCCAGCAAGCAGGAAGTCCTACTACTAGGAACGAATACAGACGCTTACAGAATATATGAAAATACAGCTGTAGGTACCTGGAGCCTGGAAAAGGGATTGCCTGTGCCCTCAGCGACTCCAACGAAGTATGTGTTCCATCCTTTTCACGTCACTATGAACAAACATTCCTCAAATCTACACAGCTAAGTTCGTGGTCCATCTGGTCATCGATCTATCAATGGAGCTGGAATACTGATATATGTATGCAGTGATTCTTAGGAGGACCGTCCAGAACTTCATGCAATTGTAAGGTAGATCGCACAACAGAAGCTAGAAACCACTCTGTAGTCTAATTACTCAATATTAATAGTCTAGTACTTGGATGTGATTTATGGTACTCCACAGGCAATTAACAATGCACTAAGATGAAGGTGAGGCACACACCCCCTACTGCACAATTCTACGTCTAGGACAGGCTATGTAGGTGGACTACACAATGCTTACAGGCTTAGCCCTCTAAGCAATGGGCCTGGCACGCTACAGACACGAAATGTTTGCTGCATGATGGTTGTGGCAGCACTGGATGTAAACAACCCCAAAGACCGTTAGTATGGGCGGTTGGCTAAATAAATAAAACCTGTTCGATAAAACACACTAATAGATGCAACCATTAAAAAGAATGAGGTGGGTCTTCCTGTAATGACACAGAAAGCACGTCGAGCTATTATTATTAAGGACAAAAAGTCAAGTGTAACCACAGCATGTATGGAATGCTTTTATCTAAGTACGAAGAGATATACACACAAACAAGCACAGGCATAGTCTAGGTCAGTAGTCCCCATCAGGGAATCATTATTGGTTGTTACAACTAAGGAGTGGGGCAGTGCCACAGGTACCTATGTGCAGAGGCCCAGGATACTACTGAACATCCTGCATTCCACCTCCAACAAAGAATTATCTGGCCCAAAACATCAACTGTGCAGAGACTGAGAAACCCTGGTGTAGACAGATTAAAAATGTACAGATTGTGTTGGGAAGGACAATGGGAGGTAGCCCCTCAGAAGGATGAATGACAATCAAGAGTCTGGGGTCACAAAACGATGTCTTCTCCATTTAATACCTTGTTATGAAATAATTTTGTTTTTTTTAAAAACCTTGAGTGTACCTTTACTCTTTTTTTTCAACATACTTAATTTTATTTTTTTAAATTTACATCCAAATTAGTTAGCATATAGTACAACAAGGATTTCAGTAGATTCCTTAGTGCCCCTTACCCATTTAGCCCATCCACCCTCCCACAACCCCTCTAGTCACCCTCTGTTTGTTCTCCATATTTATGAGTCTCTTCTGCTTTGTCCCCCTCCTTGTTTTTATATTATTTTTGTTTCCCTTCCCTTCACCTATTTTGTCTCTTAAAGTCCTCATATGAGTAAAGTCATATGATATATTTGTCTTTCTTTGACTAATTTCACTTAGCATAATACCCTCCAGTTCCATCCATGTAGTTGCAAATGGCAAGATTTCATTCTTTCTGATTGCCGAGTAATACTCCATTGTATATATATACCACATCTTCTAATCCATTCATCTGTCAATGGACATTTGGGCTCTCTCCATACTTTGGCTATTGTTGATAGTGCTGGAGTGTAGCTTTACTCTTTAAATAAAAATCCGTAACCAATGAAAACATACTGTTTATCACAAGATAAATTCATTGTGAAAACAGGACTTCAATTTTTTTAGTAAATATTCAACTGATTGGTTTTACTTACGTGTTCAGGCTTATCTTTAAGAAGCTGTTTTATCTTGTTTACTGCTGAAGGTGTCTGAAAAAAGAACAAGTTATTAAGTTTTTAGCTGCAAAACTTGCTTTTTTAAAAAAAATTTTTTTAACGTTTTTTATTTATTTTTGAGACAGAGAGAGACAGAGCATGAACGGGGGAGGGGCAGAGAGAGAGGGAGACACAGAATCGGAAGCAGGCTCCAGGCTCCGAGCCATCAGCCCAGAGCCCGACGCGGGGCTCGAACTCACGGACCGCAAGATTGTGACCTGAGCTGAAGTCGGGCGCCCAACCGACTGAGCCACTCAGGCGCCCACTCTTGCCCAAGTACTTTATGGCTTTTATAAACAAACATATGAACTCTCAATACAAAGCATTTTATTTTTATTTTAAAAAAATTTTTTTAATGTTTATTTTTGCCAGAGAGACAAAGCGTGAGTGGGAGGGGCAGAGAGAGGAAGACACAGAATCCAAAGGAGGCTCCAGGGTCTGCGCTGTCAGCACACAGCCCGATGTAGGGCTTGAACTCATGAGCTGTGAGATCATGACCTGAGCCGAAGTCAGACACTTAACCGACTGAGCCACCCAGGAGACTCTATTTTGATTTTTAAAATACCTTCTAGCAACATCCTTTGAGTCTTGCTCCCCCCCGTCAAGGTCAGCTCCCTGTCATTAGCGCTGGTACTCTCTACTTACATCACAAATGTAATTTTTCCAAGGAGCATCTATTTTGTGCTGCTACTACATGCTCAGCACAAGCACAATTCCCAACACAGAGATCAGGTGCTCAACAGTCAATGAATGACTCAAGGAATCACTGGGGAAGCCGATCTTCAGGCGGTTTTTCTGTTGATTATTATTAACTCTATTGCTTTTTTTGCTTACCCCTAATCTATGTCAAACTCGTCAAAATGCATACAGGAAACAGTGATACCAGCATCAACCCAGGGTGTGCCTCGGTACAGTCCTGCCACATGGTCCCACAGATACTAAATGTGGCTTAAAACAACATCTCAGGATATCCGGACAAACAGAAATAAGCTGGTCAACTACAGAAGCAAGCACAGGGAGGCATTTTTCAGGAGTAATGCTGTTTAATCTAGCCCATTTGTCCTCAAGATGGATCAGCATCACCAACCCCGCTTTCTCGGGAAGTGTAATTTTCCAAATTTACCAAACTGGTACTCTTGGATCCTATCTGCTTTTTCACGGTGCTGTCAGGGACAAGTCTGTTCCAGGGCATTCCTGCTCCACTTCTTGGCTGTGTCCCAGCCTGTGACTTGGCTTAAATGGGGAGAAGAGACCCTCCTCCTCAGGATTCAATAAACGAGCTCACGAAGTACACTCCGAGCAGTGCCAGGCACAAAGAGCTCAATATAAACCAGCCCTTATCACAATGAAGAGAGTATATTAGTGAAGACATCATGTCCTTCCTATTTTGTTTTATTAGCTCCTCAGCTGGCAACACTGTGCTGGTCCTCCAGTTTTTTGTACCGGCATCTTACTGGTTTGTGAAATCCCAGTGGACATTATGACCTATGACTCAGAAGCAACTGTAGCCAAAACTCAAGCCCGTGCTGAGGGAACAGACCCAAAGGATGGCCCCAAAGCGTGCTCTTCTGGCCTGCCTGGAGGGGGCTCAGCCAGGTAAGGATGTTGAAGCAGAGTCTGGACCCAATTTAGAAAGGCCACGAAACCAATTTAGAAAATTGAGACTAGTATTTTTTAAAAACACAAACTAGGGGCGCCTGGGAGGCTCAGTTGGTTAAGCATCTGACTTTAGCTAAGGTCATGATCTCACAGCTCCTGAGTTTGAGCCCTGTGTTGAGCTCTCTGCTGTCAGGGCAGAGCCCAATTCAAAAGAAAAAAAAAAAAAAGGTAAAAAAAAAAAAAATCACCACCAGTTAGTGGTCTATTAAAAAGCCTTTTCCCACAATTCTACCAGAACAGGAGCCAAGCGGTGTGACAAAAGCAGACAACAGGGAACAGTACGCAGGGGGAAGAAGGAAATGGAAAAGAGAATTTTGTGGGTTTTTTTCTCTTGATATTACGGCATATCAACCTCAAACAGTTACAGAAATATTTCTGAAAAGATGTTTAAAAACGCTCATTTGTCCTTCTCAACAACTGCCAGTAAAAACTAGCTTCCGTAATTTTCATGGTCATACTTCCCACATTGAGTTCTGAATCTAACTACTGTCCTTAATCTAACTACTGTCAAAGAGCAAAGGATTTCCAATAAGTGAAAAAACAAACAGACAAACAAAACCCCAGGCAGGGCCATGGAAAAATATCCATTTCAAGTATAACTTGCCCTGTGATGCTGGGAAGTCAAAGATGAGGAGGGTTCACCACTCACCCCTCCATGACCGAAACAAAGCAGACAGGGTATCAACACTACTCTGTCAGCAGCCCCTTGTGGTTTTTATCTCCAAGTGATGATTAAATCACCTAACTTGGCTTTCCAAAATGATGTATTTTCTTCTTTTCTCAACTCTTAGTAGGAAACACTTAGACACAGTAAGTAAAAACAATTCTTGGAGTGGTCTCCCTATCCCAAAGCGGCTGACTTCACGCCTTGTACTGTTAAGGGAAAAGTAACTGGTGTGCCTAGGAAACGTCATTTAGGAGCCAAACCAAGTCTTAATGTTCCTGTGTCAGAGGCCAAAACCAAACATACTCCATTGGGAGGAGTGTTATTAATGATGGAAACCCAGCTGAGTACTTATTTAAGGGAAAGATATGGATCTTACAACTTGCTGAGAAATTTGATTTTCAGAACAAGTCAGAATGACTAACAGGGAACATATGGCACTTAAAAAAAATGCTAGCTCTTAAAGGTACTTTCTGTATCTTGGGGCCAGGCAGAAGCTGAGGATCACGCTGGGTTCTTTGTCTATTTGCATACACTAGCACCTCTGCAAGAAGTAAACTCAATCTGGCAAACAGTGCGAGAACTTCAGCTAAACAACACGCTCCAGGCCTGGTAGCCTTCCAATTTCCAAGCACTCCCCCCAAACAACTAAGACACCTATACTTTTCCAAGGAAAGTATAATATACCTTAATTTAGGTATAATTAAGGACTTATTCACCTGAGATTTGACCAATGAATTAAAATTTAAGATTCCAGGGGCGTCTGGGTGGCTCAGTCGGTTGAGCAACCGACTTCGGCTCAGGTCATGATCTCACGGTTCATGGGTTTGAGCCCCACATCAGGCTCTGTGCTTAACACTTGCTCAGAGCCTGGAGCCTGCTTCCGATTCCATGTCTCCTTCTCTCTCTGCCCCTCCCCCGCTCACACTCTGTCTCACTCTGTCTCTCAAAAATAAATAAATGTAAAAAAAAAAAAAAATTAAGATTCCTGGGATGCCTGTGTGGCTTGGTCAGTTAAGTGTCTGACTTCGGATCAGGTCATGATCTCCTAGTTGTGGTTCGTGAGTTCGAGCCCTGCATCGTCTCTACACTGACAGTGTGGAGTCTGCCTAGGATTCTCTCTCTCTGCCCCTCTCTCCCCTTAAAATAAATAAATAAACTTAAAACAAAATTAAGATTCTTGAAACTTGATTAACTACAAAGATAGTTTTTAATCTACTCATATGTATATCACAGAACAAGACAAAAGGCCCTTAAAAAAAGATTTCAGCCTGTTTTTGTAGCAGAAACTTTTCATTCGCAACACTGTATTTCCTTAATTCCTCATGCAATTTTAGTATTTTGCTGTTCAAGAAAACAAAATTAAAACCAGAGCTAACTCCAGGATTACGTATACTAAACACGCGTCAACAACTACAACCTATTTTAATTTCATTACAAATACGGCATTTTAATGTTTAGAAGATGGTAACTAGCAGCCAATGAACAAGTCACAGTATATTTTAACTCGTTCTTTAACAGCTAGGGGTGGCATTATAGTGTTTTCCCTTTTGTCTTTTCCTATTCATCTCTGTGTATTATGTAGCCCACATTTTAAAAGTTTAACATGTCTCTCATTTAATACATGGTAATAAACACGTTATTAACGATTTACTAAGTACGTTCCAGGTGCTTAATGGTTTACATGCATCATCTTATTCTCACAATTCTGTGATTTAGGTATTAAAAATTAAATAATTTGCACAGAGACAGTAAGTTAAAGAACGAAGAGTTATGACTCCCAAACTTAAAAAAAAAAAAAAAAGGTATTATTTACAGTGACTACACCAACTGAATGTACTCACCAACTCCATCTACTCTAATTTAACCAATCTCTCATTGTTACACATTTAGGCTACTCCCAATGGTTTCTTGGAGAATACCCTTAAATGCCCTAAATACAGAAATCTTACTGCTTGGTCACTGTTCCAAAGGACTTCTGGTACTTGTCCTTCAACGAATTAACAGCTCCTTACTGGGACTCTAGTATCACATTGTTCCCTAGCCCTTCTCAACCAGGTGCCACCGGAAAGTTAAGTCTTAAGGCACCCACTGAACATAATGAATTAACTTCTCTGTGCTCATGAAGAATGATACTGGCTATGTACCATTATTCTCTTACAGCTTTGCTTGAGCTTTATGCACAGCTATAGGTACACCCCTCATCCTAAATTATGGTTACATTAATTCTGATTTATAGAATGATGGAAATAAAAGCCTCTGCCAGCAGGGCAGTGTTAAATCTTCAAGTTCTTTTGTCATTTTTCACTCTGCCTCCTACAAACTCAATTTCAACCGTCAGTTCCTGGATATGTAGAGTAGGGACAGCATCCTCTTTGGATGTGCCTCTGAAGATGTCCAAAGGTACTCACTTTCATGCGATGGGGTGCAGTCTTAAAACACTCAATCAAGGAACCATCTCTGGTTTGCACCAAAGTGTTTAGGACAGCCTATCACCAGATGAGGCCTTTTGTTCCAGCAACCCACCAATCCTCTCCTGGATTAACATCAGTTAATGTAGATAATTTGTAAGCATGAAACCATGTTTTCATTTCATCAATTCCTTTTCCTAGCCTTTTGATGACCTCTGGTAGGCTGCACAGGCACAGCACTTTAACAAGTTTGCGCCATGTCAAATTCCTGATGTGAAGTTTATACATCTAGGTAGCGCTGATCTCTTCCTCCTTTTACTGAAATCTCTAGTTTCATTTGCTTTCATCCACAGTCACTCATTAGCCCTTTGATCACCTCCTTGCTTCTGCACTTGACTTAAAATATTTGCAAGGGACTTAAAATATCTGCTGGGACTTAAAATATTTTTTGCAAAAACACTAGAAAACTAACAAACAGCAATACATGCATGCCATAATGTCTGGAGACTAGGGAACATATGCTAGAATTAAAACGACTGCATCAGGTGGAAAGCAGCAAGGACCTTTGTCTTTAGCACCAGCTAAGATCACAGGGAAAGAAACTTAAAAAGTCACCCAGACAGTTAAACAGGCTAAGTTCAGACAATGGACTTTGGCAAGTTAATCAGAACACTTGATCAGATGCCAACAATAGAGCCCTGCTGAAATAAGACATGACACGGTAAGGAGCTGTTACAATTCTGTTAGCAGAATTAGCCTGGTAAGTGGTAACAGGTAATGAAGCAGGAGAAAGTAAGTGTAGACAGCTCAGGTCTGAGAATGTATACTGTCATTATTCCTAGTAATTCCTAAGGGTGGCCAAGGCCTGGCCCACAACTGTGTCCCTGGAGGGTGGGAAACTGTGTAACACATTCATTTCTTATACTGAAACAAAGGAGGTCTTAAACGTCAGCTGAATGACAAGGAGCAAGAGGGAATGACTTAGAGATTTTGAATGAGCAAGTAATGATATGCTAAATGATGGACTTCTCTTTCTGGCTCTACCATTACCAGTGGTAGAATTCTTTTCAATTCTGAGTACTATGTTTTTTGTTTTTTTAATGTTTATTTATTTTGAGAGAGAGACAGAGTGTGAGCAGGGGAGGGGCAGAGACAGAGGGAGACACAGAATCCGAAGCAGGCTCCAAGCTCTGAGCTGTCAGCACAGAGCCCAACGCGGGGCTCAAACCCACCAGCCACTGACATCATGACCTGAACTGAAGTCGGAGGCTTAACCAACGGAGCCACCCAGGTGCTCCAATTCCGAGTACTTGTGAACTGAGACCGAAAGACACAAAGTATGACTCGTGTCTTCTAGTATGACTTGTTGTGATTTCAAGACTTTGGAAAATTCTAAGCTCTGATAATGTTATCTTCCAGACATGAAAACAGGCGGGTGGTACAGAAAATAGTAATACAGAATAATCGGGATAACCTCTGTACAGGCTGAAAACAACGAACCATTATAAAAGTGAATTCTCCTGCCTCATCACAACTTTCTTCTGTTTTGCTACAACTAGTTTTCTGGCAACAGGCTTTCTTATAGCATTAGCTTGAATGGAATCTAGGATTCCTATAGAGAATCTACTTTCCCACTCTCTAGGTGGTGAATGCTTGCACAAAGGCTTCTCCTTCATCTCTTGATGGGTGTGTGAGAAGTTATGCTGATCATAGGCTTTCCTATAAAATTCAACTCTTTCAAAATGGCAAACACAAGTGACTGCTTAACGGACATGGGAGTTTTCTCGGGGTGAAATGTTTTGGAACGAGATACAGGTGATGGTTGCACAACACTTGGTACTAAATGCCACTGAATTGTACATTTTAAAGTGGTTAATGTTATGTTATGTGAGTTTTCCCTAGGCTAAAAAGAAAAAAAAAACAAAACAACTGCACAGTGCACCAGGGATCCCGTATATGCATGGTAAGCCCTGCGGTGAGCATCTGCGGTATGGACTCTGGGGCCCTCCGAGTGTGTTTGACCTTTCACCTAGAAAACGCTCACCCAGGGTAGAGATTTTTATCCTTCTTTGTCCTTTGTGAGAGCCGACCGCGGCGGAGGCCTGCTGGAGGCACACAGGGTGTTTCAAAAAGCCTCCCCTCCCCGACCCCAGGAAGAAACCCTTTGTGCGCTGCAGCCTTGATCTCGGCGAGGGGTGGGCTTTGTTGAAGCTGCACTCTCACGTCGCTCGCCGCGCTCGCCCGGAGGTCCCCCGGCGAGCTACCGCCCTCCCGGCGCACCTCGAGGGCAGGGGTCGCGGCTCCCTCCCCCAAACTCCCCGGAGTGCCGGGCGCCGAGCTCTGAAAGGCCCGCGACGCACGCACAGTCGCGCCCCTGGGCTCGCGGCGGGCTGCCCCGGCCGGCCGGGGACTCGCGCACACGCGGCGTCCCCCAACCTCCGCATGCGGCGGCGCGCGGCCTGCTGGGAAACGTAGTTCCGGGGGCGCCAGGCTCCCGTGGAGCAGCCCCGCCCGGGCTTGTTTATCTCTCCAGCCGGGGCGAGGCGGGCAAGGCGGCGACGCGGCGGCCGCGGAGCGCGCCCGGAGCCCTGCTGCCGTGACCTCCTCGAGAGGGCGGAGGTGAACCAATGTCACCCGCCCGACCAAGCGCCCCGGCCACTCACCAGGGTGAGGGCGGCCCGAGTGGGCTGCAGCTTCCTCTTGCTCACAGCCCGGACAGTGGCCCGGACTAACGAAGCCGACATCCTCGCCGTCCCGGCGCCCCGGTGCCTTGGGCCGGAACTCGGCCACCTCAGCCTCTCTCCATGGACACAGCCGCCGCATTGACGCCACAAGCTCCGGCGCACGGCGCCCCAGGCCCCGCCCCGCGCGAGCCCGCCCCTGCTGCCGCCATTGGGCGGGCCGTGTGAGTGACGGACAGAGGGCGGGGCGCGGAGCTCCGGCCATGGGCACGTGACTTGATAGGCGCAAGGGCCCGGGGGCAAGGTTGTCTTTGCAAGGACGGCCTTCGCGCTATGTGGGGAGTGGGGCTGGGGCGCGCAGAACGCCTGCACTTGTGGACTCTGGAGGCGTGTCGCTCCACGACCTGCCCCTGGGCAGGGTGCGGCGTCACTCCTTAAGAACGCTGAGCCACGAGCGCTGGTGCTCTCCAAAGCAGAAGGGTTCCGAGGCGCAGGTACACACGTTGGTCTTCCTTTTGGTTCAGCTAGGCAGTTCTTAAGAGCATGGACTTACCGCAGAATTGCGAAATAAACAACCCAAATACTCACCAGGCTACCTCCTCACCGCGGCCTGTACTGCACCGGATGTTGGAAGATGGTGCTAATGCAAGTTTTGCTTTTAGGTGCTGACTTTGGAACGCCGACCAACCCGAAGATGTGATTGGACAGATCTGTCAACATTCATAGCGAGAACCATTCCGTAAGATTGGTTGAACGCCTGTTTGTCAGACCTTGTAGTGGCTGCTCAGGGCCTCCTGCCTTTTAATTCTCCAAGTACACCTAAGCTTTAGGCATTATACCAGGCACGCACTCACAGGAAGCCTGGTCAATGGAGGGTCCAGGAAAGAATGAGAGATCCTGGAGAACAGAAGTGCTGCAGGGTTAGCAGTAGGGGGGAGGAGGAGAACGTAAAGGATGGGTGGCTTTTCTCGTGGAAGTGCTAGAGGTAGAGGGGAAAAGTAGGATCTGTGGAATGGTGATGGCGAGGAAAGATTCTTGCTCAGTGTTTTGATGTGAAAAGAACTAATCAGTGTGTTTTAGAGCCCAATTTATCTTTCATCCCCTAGAGCCTATAGGTTTGGATGGTTCAGAATTCCCTTAGGTAGTTCTGTCTCCCTGCTACTGAAATATAACTGCACGACAGCAAGAGAATGGTTATCTTTGCCTCTAAGCCCTCTAAGCACAAAAGAAGCAGTGAGATTAGGCAATGGTAGTATGGTAGGTTTGTATCTTGGCTTCCTCTCCCTAGCTCGGTGATTTGGGACGGGGTATGTTACTTCTTGTGCCCTTCCTCTTACTGATGCTAAGAAGACTAAATGGAAAGCCCTTAGAAGATTGTATGGCACCTAAGTACTAGAAACTCAATAAAGGTTGCTAGTTATTCATGGATAAAGATGTCATATACTGTGAAACCGTGGAACCACAGCGGTGGATACACATGCCATTCCACATTTGTCGAAACCCATAGAACGTGTCACACCAAGAATGAATCCTAATGTAAACAACGGACTTTGGGCGATAATGTTGTGTCCACATAGGCTGTCAGTTCTAACAAATACCCGACCCTGGTGCAGGATGTGGATAGTGGAGGGTTTTGGCTTGTGTGGGGACAGGGGTATCTGGGAATTCTGTACTTTCCATTGTTTTGTTGTGAACCTAAAACTGCTCTGAAAAATAGTGTTAATAAAACGTAAAAAAAAAAAAAAAAGCCATGTATCATTCTTAATTATTGAAATATCATTATGCAGTCATGTAGCACGTTACAGGTTTCAAAAGCACCCTCGAGGGGCGCCTGGGTGGCTCCGTCGGTTAAGCACTGACTTCGGCTCAGGTCATGATCTCAGGGTTCCTGAGTTCGAGCCAGGCGTCTGGCTCTGTGCTGACAGCTGGGAGCCTGGAGCCTGCTTCGGATTCTGTGTCTCCCTCTTTCTCTGCCCCTCCCCTGCTCATGCTGTCTCTCTCTCAAAAAAATAAACAAACATTAAAAAAAAATTTAAAGCACCCTCGAGCACATAGTCTCATAGCAGCCTCACCGTTTTTTTTTTAGGCAGGTGTATTGGCATAGCTAATTTAAAAATGATACATAAACTCTGGCCTTTTAGTAGAGTGTGCCAGAAAGTATTTTTAAAATCTAGTTCTAAATGTTCTGATTCAAGATCCCATGTATGCTTGATTCGTTCATCTATTTAATACTCACTACTCAGTTTTGTTTTAACTTGGCTGGCTGTTTTGCATGTGAGTGGTAAGTCCCATAATCTACTTGTTCGTGGGTCAGGCATACCTACTGTTATTTGAAACTGGTGTAGGTGGCTGAGCTAAACTGGCGTTAGAAGAAAGCTTTCACGACTGTATAAGAAATATGTGAGCGCCCTTATCTCAGGGCAGCAGCTGCCCTGGGGAGTCAGGAGGCGGCCGTAGTTAACTGCTGAAGGAGTTGGCAAGCTGGAACCACATTTAGATTCCCACCAATAGGAAGAACTTAAAATAGGGAAATGTTTAACACTGTGCACTTTGGCCCTTAGTTTCAGGGTTCTAGAAGGTTAAAGTGTTTTCCTCGTAAGACCTCCCTTGAGCATCACTGCTCTGTGAAAGGGCAGATATGCTTTCCATTTTGCAGGCAAGGAAACTGAACTGCGCAGAGAGAGGCTACGGGGATTGCCACAGTCTGCTGGAAAACTGGCAGAGCCAGACCCTAATTAAGTCTAGAATTCCACCCCGTAAAATGCGCTGAATTCTTGACGGCTGCTGTGTAAACACACCTGCTTTCAAACAAAAAAGTACTGAGCGCATCTTCATGGTTTTATCGGAGTTTTGTTGAATTCTATTTTCTTGTCAACAAATTTCTTTTTTTTTTTTTTGCCTGTAACACTACGAACCCTTTTGACCTTCCTACCCAGGATTTTTTCCACTCAGGAACTTTTTTTTTTTAAATAAAACCATTTGTGAAACACATTTGAAAATGAAAAGTATACTGAAGTCATGTCAGAACATTTTAGTAACATCTCAGAAAGTGCGCACACTGTTGATATGTACGCGCTGAGCAAGGGATTAAAACATGTAGACTGGGGCTGGAAGAATAGATTTCATCTTCCTGTTTGTTCCCGAGAGGCGGAGGAAAGGAGAAGTGGGCTAGTGGAGCCTTCGTGGAGCCTGCTGAGAGACAGGCCAGCTGTGCCTCAACGGTAACTGCGCCCCAGGGGCTGGCCTCAGCGTGGGGCAGATGCGGCTGTCCCCTGGTTGGGGTGCTGAGAAGGGGCTGTGACCAGGCCCATGCCAAGGGAGCAAAGAACCTAGGGTCATCCATTCTCCAGGGCTGGTAAACACTGGTCACTGTCCCGTCGATCCAGTGTGAGGGACTGAAATCTAGCACAGGAATTAGAATAAAATGTAGGAAGCTTTTTAACATTCTTAAAAAGGTATAAGAAAACATGGTTTCCATAAAGAGGAAGATAATTAAAATTGAGAGGAAAGGGAAGGTGGCTGAAATAAGCTGAAGACAATTATAAATGAAATGACAAAATCCACATGAGAAACAGCAAACAGCAGAATGACACCAAAAATCCAGTCACTCATGTGGAGATTAAATTTGAAAAGTGTTCCTAGCATGGAGAAAGAGGAATACTGAAAAGAAGACAAAAGCGTTTTTGAAAAAAAAAAAAAAATTAAGAACACACGTTCCCAAGATGGAAAAAACCCAACAACCAAAAAACCAAACTGGGCTAGAGATACATGGGATTTGCTTTGGTTTCAGACAAAAGTCACTGACACAAAACTTATAGGGATAAACAAACACTGGAGCATCCAAGCAGAAAAATAAAACCTACCAGGAAACAAAAATTTGGCCGGTCTCTGATTTCTGCTATCAGGCCAGAAGACCGCATCACTAAGCTTTCCAAAGAAAGTGTGACGAGAAGTGTGTGCCCGGTCAAGCTCACTTTCAAGTTGAAGGCAAGAGAAATCAGAAGAGGAGCAGCTGAGGAAAGTCACGGGGAGCAGCTTCGGCCCCGGGGTACATAATTCATGCTTTACTTCGGGAGTTTGGGTTCGTTAAAGCTGAGTAAGGAACGATCGCTGATCCTAGCACAACTTGCCCAGATTCTGTAGTTCCTCGCGATAGGATTCTTCCTTAACTGGAATATGTCTTCCGGTAGGTGAAAAGAAGGGCTCACAGATGTCTTATTTTCCGAGCCCTCTCCTACCTGGGAACGCTTGCCCAGCAAACACCCTCTCCGTCCTTCTCTGTTTCCATCCCCCCAAGTCTGTGCCTCTCCTCTGCGCGTTCCCAGAGCTTGGCGCACAGTGGGGCCGATGACCAGCAGCTGGCATGAGCACAAGGAGAGGGGGCGCCAGATGAAGAGGAGCAGTTCTGTACTGCCCTCCCTCCATCTGGTTTCCTCACGACATTAGGACTCTCGCTAGAAAGGAATGTGGATAAAATTACAGGTTGAAAGTCTGATTTTATTTCAAAATGATAAATAAACCGAGGCATAGTTCTGGCCACGTACTACTTCTGGAAGGGCTTGTGGAGTTAGAGAAACAGTTCCAGGAGGGCTCCAGTCACACCCCAAAATGACACCAACCAAACTTGTGATTGGCAGAGATGGCCTCTTTCATCTTCAGGGAGTTTTAAAAGTTCTCCACCCTAATTTCAGAGTATCATAAAAAGTAAAAAGCACTTCTATATTTTGTCGTTTTTCCTTGGAAAATGTTTTTAGCAGCAAACAGGACTATTCGTTTCCCTTACTTCATTTGTAGGAGCATAGTAATTTTATGTCAACTTAAAATTAGAGAGGGGGAAAAAAACCAAAGCCCCTCAGTGGCGCTGCATACCCCGGAAGGCTCACACAAATATGTACGCGTGTTCGCGTCATCACTTCTACAAATATCAATGAAATCGGCTTGTAAATCGTAGTAAATACAGTAGTAGCGGTTCACACATATTTGATATGCTTTCACACAAGGATTCAGTAAACAACAATAAATATAATCTCCCCTCTTCAAAACAAAAAAGGGATTTATAGATGGAAAAAAAGGGGTAATTTACTAGGGGTTTATCAGCACACCAGTTTTAGTGTGCTCTGAAAGAATTAAAAACCATGAAATTGTATTCACTGAATACTGGCCCACAATTATGCTTTTTTTTTTTTTTTTAAACCTGGCTTAAAAAAAAAATAAAACCTGGCTTAAATACATACGTCATGGCTTTCTCTTAAAATCCTTATATCTATGGGGATTTGTCGTAGGTTAAGACTCTATTAATTTTTTTTCCTCATTAACAATTTCATTAAGTTAAAAAAAAAAAATCTGACATTTCCCTAGAGTGTTAAGTAGAAGCCTGATCTACACTGCTGTGTCCTGTGAAATGAACCTAATTTCAAAGAGAATGGGCCCGCCTGAGTGGCCATTTAGAGTGCTGCATTTTCCTTCCCTCATGATTCCTGCTGGGTCCTCTTCGCTGAGGCTTTTCCCTGAGTCATATATTTACTGGAAAGGCTACCTAGAGGGGGGGAAAAAAAAACCCAACATAAATAAAACAAGCCTCACTTTATCACAAAAGCCATAAGATTACTTCTTATTATTCATTATTTACAGAAACTTTTCACACTGGCATTGGTCACTTGTTTTGGATTGAGCGAGTAGGGCTAGGTAAAAAAAGGGCACGTATGGAACATGATCAATTAAACACACACCTAGTCAAAATTCTTTCTAAAGGCAGGCAAGTTGCTAGAGTGACATCATTCTAATACAGTGGCGTGTTCATTACGTCCATATTGGTGTAGAAGGTCAGTGGACTTTTCAAAACCCCTGCTTTGCATAGATCAGTGTCTTCGTTTACAACCACACAGAACAGATTGCAAAAAACTCTTTGGTTAGAAATAAATATCTTGCATCACTACTTTGTGGATATGAACCTGTGGATGGTCACATTCTAGCAATAACTTACGGATGTAAAAAGGAAAAAAGAACATTTATTATATTTACAGGAGGACAGAAATGTAGATTACTAATTAAAACCATACTACAGAACAGTTAATAAGTCTTGTTCTGGAGCATAAACAAATAGATCAATAAAACAAGAAAACTGAAAATTCTTAAGTGATTACATACAAGAAAGTAGTATATGCCAAGGGTTGCATTTTTTTTTTTTTAACGTTTATTTATGAGACAGAGAGAGAGCATGAACGGGGGAGGGGCAGAGAGAGAGGGAGACACAGAATCGGAAGCAGGCTCCAGGCTCTGAGCCATCAGCCCAGAGCCCGACGCGGGGCTCGAACTCATGGACCGTGAGATCGTGACCTGAGCTGAAGTTGGACGCTTAACCGACTGAGCCACCCAGGCGCCCCAAGGGTTGCATTTTTAACCAATGAGGTAAAGTATGGATTGTTCAATAACTGGTACTGTGTCAAATAAGTATTTTGGGAGAAAGGGGGCTTAGGTATCTTTCTTACAACATATCCTTCCTCTCCACACAATTCCAAATGAATTAAATTTGAGAATTAAATAGAAGAGAGTCAAAGTGTAAGAAGTAGTGAATATTTATATAATTTTGGGGTGGGGAAGTTTCCTAAGCTTTACCAATGAAAAAGGCTTGCTATGCTTACTACTAAAGAATTTACAAGTCAATAGGGAAAAGGTGAACACCAACATACAGCTGGGAAAATGAAAAGCAATTTTGGGAAGAGGAAAAAAAAAGCAGGAGTATATATAACAAACATTCAGTATCATTGGGTGATCAAAGAAATGCAAATTAAAATAATTTTTGATCACCAAATTGAAGGAAGATCAGAAGGACAGAGAGGTGGTTAGGAATTTTGCTAAATGAATAGTCATAGAAACCTAATAATAACTTAAGTATGCAAATAACTTAAATGTCCAAAACTTGTGATATGGCTAATGGAATATGAGGTATGCATAGGATAATTAATAACATAAAAAGTTAAAAAACCACATGAATAGTATTTTCGTGAACATGAAAAATTAAAAACAAATGAAAAATCCCATCAATCATGTTTGGTGCCTCATTTTCCTTATCTGTAAAATGTGGGCCCTTACACCTATCTGCATTGGGATTATTGTGAAGAATAGATCAATTAATACAGATAAAACAACTAAACAGTACCTGGTACACAGAAAGTACTCAATAAATGTTAGCCATTATTAGTGCATTGATAGAAAAAGATGGGAAGACTTTACTTCCAAAACCTAAATAGTAGTTATGCTCTAGAATTAGGTATAAATGGCTCTTTTTTCTTTATTTTGCTTAACTATCTACATTTTCTAAGGTAAACATATTAAGTATGCAAATAGAAATTTATGCCCCACAGAAGCAAACTTTTCAAAGTATAGCATCTAGATGATCAACTCATAGTGAAAAATGAGTGCTATCAGGAAGAAGCAAAGCATTCTCCTGTGGTATTTATACCCTAGAGTATCTACAGGCAACAAATCTTTGATATTCTGAACCGCCCAAAGTATCTAGGATCGACTTTTCATTCAAGGGACAAAAAGTTTATATCACTACACCTCATACTGTACGTACAATCCAGATGGGTTAAAGATCTAAACAGAAAAAATAAAGTTTTAAAGGTATTGGAAGAAAATATAGATGGGTATCTTATAAGAGAAGAATTTCTTGAAAAAAAAGTTTTTTAATGTTTATTTTTGAGAGACAGAACACGAGCAGGGAAGGAAGGAGCAGAGAGAGAGGGAGACACAGAATCCGAAGCAGGCTCTAGGCGCTGGAACCCATGAACCGTGAGATCATGACCTGAGGCAAAGTTGGACGCTTAACTGACTGAGCCACCCAGGTGCCCGAGGAAGAATTTCTTAAAGATGACCCTAAAATCACTGAGCCACATGACCATGAAAACTAATCATGTAAAGTCAATCATTTGATTATCTTAAAATTTAAAACTCTGGAATGGCAACAGACCCAAGTAGAAAGACAAGATATACTAGAGGAAGATACATAGAATGTATATAATAAAGGAGTAGTATTCAGAATAAATGAAGAACACTTACAAATTAATAAGGAAACAATAATGCAACAGGAAAATGGGCAAATGATAGGAACACAGACTTCACAGAAGAACTCCAACTGGTCAGCAAACAAGTAAGATGGGCTAATGATATGAACAGGCAATTCACAGAAGAATAACTCCAACTGCTTAATAAACAAAAACATCACCACAGTCTAGAAAATATACATGAGAACACCACCAAAGTATTTTTCACCTATCAGGGTTGCTGGTGGGAGTGGCAATTATTTCAACCAATAGTTGACCATATCTAACTAAACTGAAAATGCACATATGTTAATGACTCAACAGTTTGACTTCTAGGTATAAAAACTATAGAATCGCTCATATATGCTCAAGGAGACTCAGAAAAGAATGTTCACTACAGCACTGTTTATAGTAACAAAAAAACAAATGCAAAAAAATAAATGCTCATGTGCTAGGTAATGTATAAAATATTCTGTATTCATACATGGAATACTGGAAGAAAAATAAAACTAAATGTATAAATAGCAATATATATTTCAAAATTACTTCATTAAATAGATATGAAAAAGCAGGTTGTAGAACATTCTTATTACACAGTATAATACATCATTTAAATTAAAAAAATCACCAAGGACACATTCGTTAAAGGCTACATATGCAAGTTTAGAAAAGAACTGGAAGAACATCTGAATGCATAACAGATGCCTCTGGGGTGGAGGGGACACGATGCATGAAGTGGGTATGGGATGGTAGTCAAAGGGGACTTGTACCATCTTAATGATCTTTTATTAAAAAAAGATTGAAAAGAAAATGTGAAAAAAATTAAGTCCATTCTCTAATAGATGGCTTATATCTGTATCTTTACATTTTCTCCAAAATGTTCACAAACTGCTCTTTTCTAAGAATAGTACTAACAGTCTTATTACTACATCCCCTATATATAAAAATAAATCTCCTGGAACCTGAAGAAATTTCCTATAAAAAATGTGCATGTAAAAACGTAAAACCACTAGAAATAAAACGTGGATGAACTTTCATGTAATGAGGGGCAAGAACAAGAAATTTACAAAACTATAAGCATGACTTGAAAGGACCTAAAAGTTGGCTAGATGAAACTACTAAACCAAACAAGCAAGTGACTACGTGGCAAAACGAATCATAAATGAGGCTGAAAGAATAATAAACTGGGATGGTAGCGGTGAAGGACAGAACATGTGACAAAACATGTATGGCTTTCTATGTGGAAAGAGCTAAAAAACAAAGATGAATACCCTAATTGAAAAACACAGAGACAGAAACATGAAGAAATACAAATGAAAACATGAAAAATATGAGCCTTCAATGGAGGATACAAGCCAATTGGCAAAAGGGGCTGTTGCCATGACGTGAGGGTAGGGGAAACAGGCTGTCAGGGACTCCCCGGGATTGTCAATAATCCCGTTTTGGCATTGCTGGCATCACTGTGAAAACGTGCATACTTTTTAACCTATCGCTCTTCTGACTAGGAATTTATCCTGAGGAAGTAACTAGGCAAATGTGCCTGATAGAGTTTTATATAAACAGTGGTCTTGAAACTCGGGCACGTGTATTACTGAGCCAATGGAACAGGACAAGAGGGCAGGGAGCTTGAGGGGACTTGACGGCAGTGTTCCAAGGCTCTGGGCTGGTTCTCAGGAGGCACACCTGTCTTTCATTCACAGTTCTTCTCCTACTTTAAAAAAGAGTGGCATGTCTCCTACTCATCCAAATATTAATGTGGTATGTGGATCTGGGGTGCTGAAATGCTGGTATCTGTGGTCAGTGTGAATGCTTCTAATAAAAACCCCAAATTTTTAGCTTTCATAAAAATTACATTGATAGCTATGATCATCAGAAATTACTTCCTGATGATACATTACTATGTAATTTTTGGGCATTTAGTTAAAAAGAAATGACAATAACTGAGTGGCACTGTTGTAAAACATCTTCCATTCCCTGAAAAAGTATCTGTTATTTTTAGTATCCTATCATAGAGACTACTGAGGTTTCTCGACGGTTGCCAACTATAAAAACAAAAGATTCAGGAAAAAAAAAATGGTTAAGGAACATCGTTTCATTCCTGCAATAAGCAGTATTGACCCAACAATACATGAATGCATGGAGAAATCCCATCTATCTCACTGAATGGCCATCACATTTGGTATGTGAATGTAAAAATTTTGGGGGGCGCCTGAGTGGCTCAGTTAGTTGAGCATCCGACTCTTGATTTCAGCTCAGGTCATGATCTCACAGTCATGGGATCAAGCCCTGTGTCGGGCTCCACACAGAGCATGGAGCCTGCTTAAAATTCTCTCTCTCTGCCCCATCTCTGACTTGTGCAAAAAAAACAAAAAAACAAAAAAACAAAAAAACCCCACAGTTTTTTCACCCATAAAAAGGTCATTTTTAATGAAAATTTGTTAACATTTGATCAATTATATTCTAATGCAAAACTCAATTTAGAAATTTTCAT